AGCGAAAGCTCAAGATCTCACTTTAATATCCCAGAAGGCCTAACAAAAAACAAAAACAAAAAAAAAAAGGAAAAAGGAACAACAGGACAATGTCTGCTGCCTTTAAAGAATATATAGCCCAGACACCGAGAGGACAAAGTTGGATTCATGCTCCACAGCAGAGCCCTAAGAAATTTAAGCTGCCCGAACACAGAATTCAACGTGTTATTAAAAAGAGGCCTAGGAAACTGTTTAATAAATAACAGAAAAAGACAACATGCTGAAGGGTTTAACCTGTATTTCTTGAATATCAAGGAACAGTCTCAGAAACTTAGGATGTGTATGTTCTACCTAAAGCAGTTTTTCAATATTGCTAATAAAACCAGCTGGCAGGTTCTTAATATTGCCCTAAGCCTGCCAAATACTTAGAAAGTGCATTGAGCAATTGTAGGTGAAGTGCAGAAGGGGACAGACTTTTAAAGGGTACTACGATTAAGTCTCTTTTTTTGCACAGATGAGCACTAGTTCTTTTCCCCAAACTATCCCCCCCAAAAAAGCTATTTTAAAACAATCCATCTCTCCCAGTAGATCTGCAAATTCATCTTAAGTATGTTAAATACAATTACTAATGACACTATTGGAAATACTCTTTCAAAACACATTACAGCTCAGATTACTTACCTCACAATATTTCAAAGATGCACAAGGAAGTAGCACGAGGTCTGGTTACTATATAATTATCCTCAAAGAGCAGCTTGCCACTCTTGTGAGAAGAGCTATAGTGAAATCATCACGTGTGTATACGTACATATGTATTTAATCAACACAGACGAGTATGGCATAGATGAAGTTGAAATGAGGAATCTGGTCTACCAAATAAGCACATTTCTCTTGCCCCTGCTGTGAAGTCCCTCTCTGTTTCCTGCAGATGAACATAAGTCCTGATACACACAGAGCAAAAGGATCATTGCTGAACATAAGTGTCTTCAGCAAAAGAAAAAGCAAGTTGATGGTCTCCTCAAGACAAACTATTTGCAGGCAGCTTGGCCCAGGAGCAAAGGTGCAAAATGTGCAGTAAGAGGCCCAAGAGAGAGCCCCGCAGGCCGGGGAGGAAGCAGAGGGCAGCGGAGGGAAACGCTCAGCACCTGCCCGCGCCGCAACGCGGGGCCGCGTCGCGAACGGCCCCTCGAGCCGCTCGCTGGGCCACCGCGCTACAGCCCGAGAGGGGTTTTCATATACGCTTGTATATGTGACACCAACGTAACAGATTTCCTATTTACATTCTCCCATCCATCTGCAAGGCCTATCAGCTAACACTTAAAAAGAGCTGAAACCTTTCATTATGTTTTTCGAAACAGAGCTCAGCCACTGAAGTTTGGAAATTAATTTTAGGCTGTTACAAGCAATTTTTTGAGGTTTTCTTCATCTGTAGGTAAAAGATACAATGTTTAAGAACTCTCCGTGAGTTATCAGATTGTACTCAATACAAAAAAAATACTACTGAAATAGTGTTTAGTTGAACACAAAGGAATACTAGGGTTACACATACTATCTTTGCTAGTAACATTCATATTGTCCCTGTTAGGCTTTCAGGTCTCTCAAGGAACATCGCATAAAAGCTGGATTTATGTTACAAGGCAATGTAGTTCAGACAGGTTTATTAGTATTAATCATACAACATAAATAAAGTATAAAAGCACCTTTTGCTGTAAAACACTTATCCAAAGCAAACTCCTCTAGCCAGACCTACCTTCGTATTACACCAATTTGCAAATTACCCCGTATGTGATAGTCCTTTGCTCCCTCTGCAGAAGCAAATTTGCCAATATAATGTAATATAGGAGTGCCAAAGGAGGAGGGAAACAGAGGGAAAAGATAACAAAGTTGCCTTGTAACTCTTTCATTAGCTCAGTGATTCCACCAAAGCTTCTCCAACTGTTGATATCAAGACCTTCGCTTGGAAACCCCAAACTCAAACCAGGGATTTTTGGAGTCGATTTTACGGCATTAAGGAAAAACCAGCAACTAAAGTTAGCTACGTAATCCCTGTAGGTGACATGTGTAACAGAAACAAGCGCCTCGCTCCCTGCGTCCTGCACAGAGCGGGACACGAGCGTGTCGGGGCGATGCCCCTGCTCGGACAGCGGCGGCTCCAGCGCGGGGCCCCCAACCCGCCCGGATCCTCCTTCCCGCCGTCCAAGGGCCCCTTTTCCACACCTTCCCCTCGAGTTTTTTTTTTTTTCTTCCAGCGC